TGTAGGGGAGGTGCACCTTTAAAGACTCTCCCACATCCAGCCCAAAATAAAATTAACAAACTTACAAGCTTTAAAACCATACTGGGAACATAACTTTCTGGTTTAGGGAAAACAATATATACTTCCTAGATGTGTATACATAAGTGTTTTTTCTCTCATAAACAATATATACTCTCCCCGAGTGTTACATCAATGTTTTTTCTTCATAAACAATATATTCTCCTAATGTGTATACATCACGTGTTTATCTCTCATAAACATATATACTCTCCTAATGTAATCATCACAGTGTTTATCTCTATAAACAGTAATACTCTCCCAGATGTGTATACTTTACAGTGTTTATCTCTCATAAACAATATTACTTCCTAAGTATATCACACAGTGTTTATCTCTCATAAATAATATATCCTCCCAAGTGTATATATCAGTGTTTATTCCTAAACAAAGCATACTCCAGATGTGTATATACACAGGTTTATCTTCAAAACAATATATACTCTCCTAAAGTAATACATACAGTGTTTATCCTTTATAAACAAAAAACTCTCCTAGATTAATAAACACAGTGTTATCTCTCATAAACAATATATCCTCCTAATTATATATATCACATGTTTTTCTCTATAAACTCTGTTCTCTTTATAGTATTCATATTCTTTACTCGTATTATAGGTGAAATTTCCCTTACTTGGGGTTTACCTGGGGAGGGTTTTAGGGGCAAGCCCCCGTGTAGGTTGAGACCAGGGCCCCCCCTTAATGGCCCTCATATGTGATTTTAAACGTAGCAAACTTAGCCCAAATTCTATAATATTTAAAAATTGGTAGCATCTTAAATAACTAGGTCATAGTCCCTCCTTTGGATGGGCCTTGGGTCAATTAAACAGAGCTTCACTTCCCTTTCCTTTAATTAAACCTTATTTCCCCTCGTCCCCAGGGGCTGTAGGCCTGTACTTACTGTGTTGGTTCTCTGCAAATCTACCTGCCTCAGTTTTTTACACTGCAAACAAATTTTATATATATATATAATAAATTTTATATATATATAATATATATTTATAATATATATATATATATTTATAATATATTATATTATATATATATATATATATATATATATATATACGTATGTTGTTCTAATAAACCCAGGCGTCCAGTTTGGGCTGTTTGCCCGGGTTCCTTTGCCGAAAAGCCCAATGAACATTTGTTTTTCCCCTAAATCATGAAAAAACAATCTGACCATTCGAAAAAAAAAATTTTTATTATTTTAAGTAATAGCAAAAAAAATTTATATTAACCTATATAATACAAAGAATTTAGCCAACAAAATATTTGTTGTTTCAAGGGGCAAGTGAGGTTTTTTGTGTTAATTTTGGCCAGAAAAAAAATTTTCATTTCATTGTTAAGAAAAAAAAAAAAAATTCCAACAATAAACAAATGGAAAAGTTTTAATTTTTTAAAAGAGTTCGGCGTGCTGGGCAAATTTTCCTTTTTTTTAGTACGATAATATGTATGTCGTGCCGAAAAGGTAAAACTTGTATTTTTTTGGGATAAAAATCAAAGTCTTCTGCCGAATAAGCAAACGAAAATTTGCGTTCAATAAATTTCGCAAAAATCGTTTGGAAAAGTAACGAGAAAATTTATTTCATTTTGTTTGTTATTAAATTATTTTAAACTTATCTAAAATAATTTTGTTGGGTTAGGGTAAATAACATGGCTTTTTATAGTAAGGTTTTTAAGTTTTTAAAACTCTTAGGGACATAATTATTAATTTTTATGTTAAACATAAAAGGGAAAAAAATTTTTTTAGACATAAAAGAAAATTTTAGTATGGCCTTAATTTTAAAGGTTTTGTTAAATTTACCCCCTTTTTACATTCGACACGACATATTATATTAAAATAAAAAACGCAAATTCAACTATGTGAAAATTTTTTTGTGGGAAAAGTTTTCGCTCTCCAGGACTTATCAAGCCATTACAAAAATACAGGCACAGAGGGTATATAAAAGGGTCAGAGTGAGGTGCAATTAGTGAGGTACCATTTCGATGTTCACTAGTGGTAGTAGATGAGTAGTAGTGTGGGTATAGTGGGAGTATGACAAAAGTTGTAGAGTAAACAAATGGTAGAGCAACTAATTCGACATGATAAAAAAATAAAAAGCTATTACTTGGGTAAAATAAAAATAGGTTGGACAAATATAGACTGGAAAAAGGCAGCTTGTTTCAGTGTTCACTCTCTGTAATGTGCTTTGTGTAGTATAACAGGAGAGACTATGTGATGGCAGGGTTTACTGTTTTCAGAAGGATTCTTGCTAAGACTTCAGAGATGGTGAAGCTGCCGTTGTTTTGTTTAATTGTATTCGAAACAGCGATCAGTGCTGATTCGAGGCACTTGCGTCTGCGGAAATTAGTTTTTTTGATCACTAATTGGGCGTCCCTGAATTTCATGAGATGATTGGTGGAATTACGGTGTTGTACACAGGCGTTGTTCAAGTTATCGTCCCTACATGCGTAAATGTGTTCATTGAGGCGGGTGTCGAGGTTTCTTGCTGTTTCACCTACGTAAATCTTGTCACAGCCTCCACAGGGTATAGTGTAAACTCCTGCATTGATTGGTTCGTGGTGCTTGGATTTTGTCCTGGTTAGATCCTTTATTGAAGCGCTAGAAGCGATGGCGACTCTGGTGTTAGCTTGTGAAAGTACTTTTGAAACGTTCAGTGCAACCTGGCTGTTAGGGAAGAATTATAACTTTGTTGGGAGTGGTGTTGGTGCGTGGAGAATTAATGATCTGAAGAGCTCTTTTCTTGCAGTCTTTGATGAAAAAAGAAGGAAAATGTAACTCAGTGAATGTTTGGTGAATGTATGTACATTCCTCGTCAAGAAACTCAGGACTACAAATTCGGTATGCTCTTAGAAAAAACCCGATAATGATGCCTCTTCGGGTTTTTCCTAAGAGCATACCGAATTTGCAGTCCTGAGTTTCTTGACGAGGAATGTATATACATTCACCAAACATTCACTGAGTTACATTTTCCTTCTTTTTTCATCAAAGACTGCAAGAAAAGAGCTCTTCAGATCATTAATTCTCCACGCACCAACACCACTCCCAACAAAGTTATAATTCTTCCCTACAGCCAGGTTGCACTGAACGTTTCAAAAGTACTTTCACAAGCTAACACCAGAGTCGCCATCGCTTCTAGCGCTTCAATAAAGGATCTAACCAGGACAAAATCCAAGCACCACGAACCAATCAATGCAGGAGTTTACACTATACCCTGTGGAGGCTGTGACAAGATTTACGTAGGTGAAACAGCAAGAAACCTCGACACCCGCCTCAATGAACACATTTACGCATGTAGGGACGATAACTTGAACAACGCCTGTGTACAACACCGTAATTCCACCAATCATCTCATGAAATTCAGAGACGCCCAATTAGTGATCAAGGAAACTAATTTCCGCAGACGCAAGTGCCTCGAATCAGCACTGATCGCTGTTTCGAATACAATTAAACAAAACAACGGCAGCTTCACCATCTCTGAAGTCTTAGCAAGAATCCTCCTGAAAACAGTAAACCCTGCCATCACATAGTCTCTCCTGTTATACTACACAAAGCACATTACAGAGAGTGAACACTGAAACAAGCTGCCTCTTTCCAGTCTATATTTGTCCAACCTATTTTTATGTTACCCAAGTAATAGCTTTTATATCCTTTTACTCATGTACGAATTAGTTGCTCTACCATATTGTATTACTACTACAACTTTTGTCACTACTACTACTACTACTACCACCACTACTACTACTACTACTACTACCACTAGTGAACATAGAAATGGTACCTCACTAGTACTGCACCTCACTCTGAGCCTTTATATACCCGCTGTCCATGTATTGTTTGTAATGGCTTGATAAAGCTCCTGGAGAGCGAAACGTTGCCACAATAAAATGCCACATTAGTTGCACTTGTGTACTTTTACTTTACATATTGTCGGTAATTCTACCAACTTTATTACACGACATATATATATGCAGAAGAACAAGCCGCCTCACGGGGATTGAAATCTTTAGCTTTAGATTCTTGGTACTCTCGTGCGTCGTCAGGAGCTATGCAATGCTGCATCACCAGCAACAAAGGGAAGGGAAATCCACTCTGAGGCAAGACAGAAGTTCAACCTTGATCCATGGATGACCTTTGAATGTATCTGGGTATAGACCAGCTGCAGCTGACAACTCGCCAGAACATTACCACGCTCGCCTCTTATAAAAATATTTAGTGCATTCGACAGTAATAGAGAAAATAATATACTAGGTTATGTAGTAAGGATTTTAGACAGTGTATCAGCTGTTAGACGATGAAAAGATATCCACCAGGAAAATAATCCTAACATTAAGAGGCACGTAAGTTCCCCAGTCTTCTAATATCATGTTCATTTTTCCACTATAATCTACCCTGTCCATAATTACTATCACATTTGCTTTGTCTGTTTCGTAAGGTGAAGTCCAGGATCTTTAATTTCCTTAATTCATGTTGCAGAGGCCTGAGCGCAGCCCAGACCTCTGCAACACAGTTGTCCTCAAAGATTTGTTGTTATACCATGAATAAAGGAAAGATCCTGGACTTCACCTTACGAAACAGACAAGCAAATGTGATAGTAATTATGAACAAGGTAGATTATAGTGGAAAAATGAACATATTAAAAGACTGGGGAACTTACGTGTCTCTTAAATATTAACAATAAATACTAAATAAACATGCAAACACCAAATAATGCATAGATGTACTTCACATGACCCTTGTTGGTTTAGCCCTTTCCCCATAATAATAATATGACCTAGTAGGGCTTCTGCAGTGTTTTTTCATTCTTATGCTCTTAAATAATAATAATAACAATAATAATAATAATAATAATAATAATAATAATAATAATAATAATAATAATAATAATAATAATAATAATAATAATAATAATAATAATAATATTGTCTTGTGTTGACAGGGTCCAGGAAGGCGCCGGCCAGCAGTGGTTACTTGCCCCGGCCGTCACCAGCTGCTGCTGCCACCATTGTTACCACCTCCTTCCTCACCCTCACAGCTGCCCTCAGCCCCGCTATACTGTAGCGCCCTTCCCCTCACCCTCCACTGCCTCCCTCCTCCCCCCACCTTTCTAGCTTCATTCCCCTTTACCTCTAGCACCCTTCCAAACCTCTCCTCTAGTACCCTTCTCCCTCTAGCACCCTTCCCGATTATTTAGCTCCCTTCCCCTCCTTTAGCTCCCTTCCTCGCCCCTCCTGAAGCTACCCCGCTCCTCTAGCTCCCCCCTGGACCCCACTTCCCCCCGTCATCTCCCCTACAATAAGACATAAGCTTGTAGACAGCTTTCTTGTATTGTAACTTACTGGACAATAAAATTACATAAAACCATTTCCGTGTGCTTTATTTGTCTATGAATTTAATTTTAAGGTTGTTCATGGTTATTTATAAGACATGATCTCAGAGAACATATAAAACACACACACACACATACACACACACACACACACACACACACACACACACATACACACACACACACCCCTGCAACCACAATTAGGTGAGTACACACACACACACACACACACACACACACACACACACACACACACACACACAAACAAAACACACACACACACACACACACCAGGAGCTAGGACTCGACCCCTGCAACCACAAATAGGTGAGTACACACACACACACGTGCCCGCAGGTTTGTGACACCCACAAGTGATAAAAACAATGTCAGGGAACTGGAGAAAGTGCATAAGTTTGCAACGTTAATAGTCCCGTAGGTAAGCATAAGGAACTATATGAAGAGACTGAAAGAACTGAACCTGACTACATTAGCGGAGAGGAAAACAGAGTAGACATAACCACAAACAAAATACAAAGAAAAATTGATAGGGCAGACGGGGCTAGACTGTTCGAGAGGCTGGAAACTGGTAAATAAGGTTACAGTTCTAAGCTGGAGGTACAGTTGAGTAGCAGAGATGTCAGGAAATATATTTTTAGCCAGAGGGTGATCAGGACGTTTAATGACCTGAGCACAGAAATAATGGAGGCAGGATCCATACATTGTTTTAAGAAGTTCAGGAAGCTGAGAGGAAGTGAACTCGGCAAGTGGAAAGTTGAAAGAGCGGGCCAGGAGCTGAGATTTAAACCCTGCAACCAGGAAGAGGTGAGTACACAGGCTACAACGCTGTACACCCCGCTGTACAACATAATGTACATCATGCTGTACATCATGCTGTACATCATGCTGTACATCCTGCTGTACATCATGCTGTACATCATGCTGTACATCATGCTGTACATCATGCTGTACTCATGCTGTACATCATGCATACATCATGCTGTACATCATGCTGTACATCATGCTGTACATCATGCTGTACATCATGCTGTACATCATGCTGTACATCATGCTATACATCCTGCTGTACATCATGCTGTACATCATGCTGTACATCATGCTGTACATCATGCGTACATCATGCTGTACATCATGCTATACATCATGCTGTACATCATGCTGCACATCATGCTGTACATCATGCTGTACATCATGCTGTACATCATGCTGTACATCATGCTGTACATCATGCTATACATCATGCTGTACATCATGCTGCACATCATGCTGTACATCATGCTGTACATCATGCTGCACATCATGCTGTACATCATGCTATACATCATGCTGTACATCATGCTGTACATCATGCTGTACATCATGCTGTACATCATGCTGCACATCCTGCTATTGTCATGTAAATCACTGTATTCCATTTTTGTTTCCTAGTTAAATCAAGACACAAACTCAATGTTCTCTCGTTTACATTTAAATATTCATAAATATTAGAGGCAATTTTTGGCATTGTGTGTGTGTGTGTGTGTGTGTGTGTGTATGTGTGTGTGTGTGTGTGTGTGTGTGTGTGTGTGTGTGTGTGTGTGTGTGTGTGTGTGTGTGTGTGTCTGTGTGTGTGTGTGTGTGTGTGTGTGTATACGCGGTTACATAGTAGGACTATACTAAACTATCTTCAGGATATTTGTCATAAAATTAACATATATAATCTTTTCTCTACTAAATTCCTTTAGTAATTAATCTAAAGGAACTTGGTCGCATTAGATTACATAACTCACAGCTTACGACCCTATATAAGTGGCCCTAATAGTGTTACGAGTTAAAGCCTATTGGCTAGGCTGTCGTGAGTGCGCACGTCGCTTGACACACCGTATATACGGTAAACAAGTGTATGTTTCTCAGAGTATATTCACTGACATTTTATTTTAATCCTTATTTTAGGGATTAAAGTATTCTTGACTGGTGATGGGTAGATTACATACTCTTAATGACGCTTGTGAAGTCGATAGGCTTTATATCACCATTAACCAGCCAACTACTTGACATGCTGGCTGGTCTGTTTTGAGGTGGTGTTCGCTTGGACCTGAGTGGGTGTATATACAGTGTAAGCCTGGAAGTGAGAGGGTGTGTATACAGTGTAAGCTTGGACCTGAGTGGGTGCACATACAGGGTAAGCTTGGATGTGAGTGGGTGCACATACAGGGTAAGCTTGGATGTGGGTGGGTGCACATACAGGTAAGCTTGGATGTGAGTGGGTGTACATACAGGGTAAGCTTGAATGTGAGTGGGTGCACATACAGGGTAAGCTTGGATATGAGTGGGTGCACATACAGGGTAAGCTTGGATGTGAGTGGGTGCACATACAGGGTAAGCTTGGATGTGAGTGGGTGCACATACAGGGTAAGCTTGGATGTGAGTTTGGGGGCACATACAGGGTAAGCTTGGATGTGAGTGGGTGTACATACAGGGTAAGCTTGGATATGAGTGGGTGCACATACAGGGTAAGCTTGGATGTGAGTGGGTGTACATACAGGGTAAGCTTGAATGTGAGTGGGTGCACATACAGGGTAAGCTTGGATATGAGTGGGTGCACATACAGGGTAAGCTTGGATATGAGTGGGTGCACATACAGGGTAAGCTTGGATGTGAGTGGGTGCACATACAGGGTAAGCTTGGATGTGAGTGGGTGCACATACAGGGTAAGCTTGGATGTGAGTGGGTGTACTAACTACAGAACATTTCCTAAGTATGAATATAAATACTCTTTCTAACAGGTAACAATTTACGTGTGTAACTAATATAGACATCAGTAAGGTTAGTATGGAATTAAAGTTGGTATACGTTATTATACACTCTCCCATACACACAAAAAAATAACAAATTTAATATTACACACGCGAAACGTAGCAGTCTATCTGCTGTATCTCCCTGTGTAACAGTACAGCAGTACATCTGCTGCATCTCCCTGTGTAACAGTACAGCAGTACATCTGCTGCATCTCCCTGTGTAACAGTACAGCAGTACATCTGCTGCATCTCCCTGTGTAACAGTACAGCAGTACATCTGCTGTATCTCCCTGTGTAACAGTACAGCAGTACATCTGCTGTATCTCCCTGTGTAACAGTACAGCAGTACATCTGCTGTATCTCCCTGTGTAACAGTACAGCAGTACATCTGCTGCATCTCCCTGTGTAACAGTACAGCAGTACATCTGCTGTATCTCCCTGTGTAACAGTACAGCAGTACATCTGCTGCATCTCCCTGTGTAAACAGTACAGCAGTACATCTGCTCCCATCTCCCTGTGTAACAGTACAGCAGTACATCTGCTGAAATCTCCCTGTGTAACAGTACAGCAGTACATCTGCTGCATCTCCCTGTGTAACAGTACAGCAGTACATCTGCTGCATCTCCCTGTGTAACAGTACAGCAGTACATCTGCTGTATCTCCCGTGTGTAACAGTACAGCAGTATATCTGTATCTCGCGTGTATAACATATCAGTACATCTGCTTCAAATGGTATTTGTTCCCATTTATGGTAAAGACAATTTTTTCACCATAAATACCATTGTAAATACTATAATGATTCGCCATTACACATTTAACACATGCAGCTAGGAAGATTGGTAAAGCATACCGTGAATGTATACCCTAGACCTGCTCAGAACATTCCAAGCTGCACTAACAAATGCAAGGAATAGAAAACAAGAAGTCAGACAACAGGAATGGGAACAATTTCTTGGTGGGTTAGATAGGTCTACCCCTTTAAGTTTGGCTTGGAAAGGTATATATAAAATAACCAGGAAAAAGACTGGTAATGTTGCTCATCCCTTTCCTATTGAAAAAGCAAATGACCTCATTAAATAACTGATCCAAAATATCCTGGCATTAAAATCTCCCACTTCATATTAGAAAAAAACCTAGAGTGCTTCCGAAGAAAGGTCGAAATTGATTGATTTTATGAGTCAAAATATTGATGAAAGTGACTGCCTCTTCACCGAGTATGAATTAGATAATGTATTAACTAACGGTTGATGAAATGCTCCTGGGGAGGATGGTATAACTTATAATATCCACAGAACTCTAAGACAGGTCCCTGATAAACCTATGTTAGAACTGTATAATCTCGGTTACATCGAGGGTGTTCTTCCTACGTCCTGGACCAATAGTCTTATTGTGCCTATCCCAAAGCCGCAACAGCCTGATACATTCAGACCAATCTCTTTAACTAGTTGTCTTTGTAAAAAAAAATGAAAGAATGATACTTCACAGACTGTACTACAGAATCAGACTCCAAATATTCCCTCATCTCTATGGGTTGATGAAAGGAAAAAGTGTGCAGAATTGAATTTCCACCTTTCTCACTGCACACATTTCTTAGTTTACCACATTTCTTGATCTAAAACTTGCATTTGATATCAAACGGAACCGTTATACTACATGAACTAGACAAAATGAATATTGGTAGTAACCTACTCAGTTGGATAATAAGATATCTGTCAAATAGAGTATCTTCTGTCCTTTACCAAGGCTTTAGAAGTTAGTCTAAAGAAATGTCCCTGGGGAGGAGTTTTCAGTCTCATGCTAATTAATGTTCTGATTAATGCTCTCCTAAATGCTCTACCTGCCTCACATGAACATATATCTATAAGCTATAGGGATGATATAATCCATACAACAAGGCATAAGAAGATGCATACCATTCTTAACGAAGTTCAAGCATTTTGTAATCGATTAGGCGTCATCACATCTTCATCTAAAACAAAGATATTGCAAACGACATCCCCCACCCATCAGTTTGCAGGGTGAAAACATGAGCTACGTTAAATCTTAAATACTTATTGGTATAGACGTACCCTTCAGTAAATCCACCATACCACAACTAAATAAAAAATGCAAAGATAGGCTAAATCTTCTCAAAGATGTTGCTGGCTACAACCTCAACAATGATGCTAATGTGAGAATAGTGAGACTGAGTATGCTGCTCCCATGTTGATTGATATTAGCTAGGGAAAGTTCTCTCCAA